TGATGTGGACGGGGAAGGTTGGCGATGCGTCGGCGTTCCGTGTCTGGGGATCTCGGGCGTTTGTCCGCGACTTGTCTGCGGACAAGCTGTCCCCTCGTGCTGCTCCCTGTGTCTTCCTTGGCTTCCCCACAGACGCTCCCGGGTGGCAGTTCTACCACCCCTCCTCTCGTCGTGTTCTGTCCTCCCAGGACGTCACGTTCAACGAGTCAGTCCCCTTCTACCGCCTCTTCCCCTACCGCACTCCTTCCCTCCCCCCTCCACCGGACTTCCTTGTGCCGGTTCCCCCCCCGGTAGACCCCCTCCCCCCTCAGGTTCCTGCCCCCTCAGGTGTGTCCCAGGTAGACGCAGTTGACCCGGTCGAGGTTACTGGTGACTCTGGTGCTGCTGCGGGTGCTGAGCCTGGGGGTGCTGACTCTGGGGGTGCTGTGCGCGGGGGTGCCGAGCCTGGAGGTGCTGCTACTGAGGGTGCTGAGCCTGGGGGTGCTGGGCCTGGGGGTGCTACGGCGGAGGGTGCTGAGCCTGGGGGTGCTGCGCCTGGGGGTGCTGAGCCTGGGGGTGCTGAGACTGGAGGTGCTACGCCTGGGGGTGCTGAGCCGGGGGGTGCTGTGACTGGAGCTGCTGAGCCTGGGGGTGCTGAGTCTGGGGCTATTGCGCCTGGGGGTGCTGCGTCTGGAGCTGCTGAGCCTGGGGTTTCTCCTGCTGCTGCGTCTTGCCAGGAGCCCCTCTCTCCACAGGAGCTGCGCGAGTGGTTTGCTTGCCGCTGGAGGCGTTCTGCTGGAGCTGGAGCTTCTTCGACCGTCAAGGGTGCTGGTCCTGCCGGTCCCGGAGCTGCTGGGCCTGCGGGTCCTCCTGGAGCTGGAGCTGCTGAGGGTGTTGGTGCTGAGACAGCTGCTGTCTGTCCTGGCGGTGGTTCTACTGCTGGTACTGCTGGAGGTCCTGCTGCTGGAGGTGCTGGTGGCGCTGGTGCTGTCGCTGAGGGTGCTGGTGCTGTCCCTGCTGTGTCTGGAGTTGCCGCGCGGCCTCGGCCGTACTTCGTTCCGCTCCTGCAGCAGGTTCTTGGTCTTTCTCCTCCGGTAGAGTGTCCACAGCCTGTCCCGTCGCAGTCACTGTTGCAGCCTTCCTCTCCACTGCCTGCTCCCTCCCCTTACACTGGTCCTACTGCAGGTCTTGCTGAGCGTCGTGAGCCTGCGTCTCGTCCTGCGTCGCCTGTTCGTGCTGCTCGCGCTAGTGGTCGCGGCTCGCGTCAGCGTCCTCCTCCTGTCCCTGGCACGCACCGGATGTCTCTGCGTCCGTCCACTGCTCCTCTGCGTGCCCCTTTGCCTTCTCCTCCTGAGTCCTCTCTTCCTGCGCTTGCCGACCCTGAGTCGGACTCTCTTCGTGCTGCCAGTCCTACTGTCACGCGTCTCCTTGCTACTGTCGTCACTGACCCCTCCTTTGAGTCCGCTGCTGCGTCTGCTCTTGTCGCTGAGCTCGTCGAATTTGCTGCTCGCTGTCGTCTCGACTACGCTGCTGGTCTTGTTGCTGAGTCTGCGTCTGTCTGTCCTCCGTCCGTCGGGGGTGAGTGTGCTCTTGGCACGGCCGCCGGGCTCTCCACCTGTCTTCAAGGCGCGGTACGTTGCTCATGGCTTCAATCAGCGGCAGGGAGTTGACTACTTTCAGACCTTCTCTCCCACCCCGAAGATGACTACTCTTCGGGTGCTGCTGCACGTAGCCGCTCAGCGCGACTACGAGCTTCACTCTCTCGACTTCAGCACTGCGTTCCTGCAGGGTAGCCTGCACAAGGAGATCTGGCTGCGCCGTCCACCTGGCTTCACTGGGACTTTCCCTCCTGGCACCCAGTGGAGCCTCCGACGACCAGTCTACGGTCTCCGCCAGGCACCGCGTGAGTGGCACGACACACTGAGGACTACGCTTGCGGCTCTTGGGTTTGCTCCTTCTACTGCTGACCCGTCGCTGTTTCTGCGCACCGACACTTCTCTGCCGCCGTTCTACATCCTCGTGTACGTCGACGACTTGGTCTTTGCCACAGCGGACACTGCTGGACTCGCCTACGTGAAGTCTGAGCTGCTGAAGAGACACACGTGCACAGACCTGGGTGAAATGCGCAGCTACCTTGGCTTGCAGATCACTCGGGACAGAGCACGCCGCACCATTACCTTGACTCAGTCACACATGGTGCAGCAGGTCCTTCAGCGCTTCGGCTTCACGTACTCCTCGCCTCAGGCCACTCCTCTGTCTACTCGCCACTCGCTCTCAGCTCTGCCTTCGGATGAGTCCGTAGAGTCGAGTGGCCCGTACCCAGAGCTTGTTGGCTGCCTCATGTACCTGATGACCTGCACACGACCTGACCTTGCATACCCTCTGAGCTTTCTTGCACGCTATGTTGCTCCTAGGAGACACCAACCAGAGCACATGGCTGCAGCGAAGAGGGTATTGCGCTACCTGTGCAGTACGTCGGGCATGGGGCTAGTGCTTGGAGGGCGGAGTCCAGTGGTCCTTACAGGGCATGCGGACGCTTCTTGGGCTGACGACCAGGCTACGCAGCGGTCGTCACAGGGTTACACCTTCAGTCTTGGTTCCGGCTCTGTCTCGTGGCGGGCTACTCGTTCGTCTTCGGTTCTCAGCTCCAGCTGTGAGGCTGAGATCTACGCCGGGGCCATGGCTGCACAGGAGCTTCGCTGGCTCACCTACCTGCTGACTGACCTTGGAGAGCCGCCTCGTTCTCCTCCAGTGCTGTACATAGACAACAAGGCCATGCTGGCCTTGTGTCGAGAGCAGCGTCTGGAGCACAGAACGAAGCACATTGCTCTTTGCTACTTCCTTGCTCGTGAGCTACAGCAGCGTGGACAGTTGCGGCTTGCGTACGTGGCCTCTGAGGCCAACACTGCTGATGTGTTCACCAAGGCACTCGCGCCTTGTGACCATCAGCGCTTCTGCACCCAGCTGGGTCTTGTGCATGTCTTGCCTCACTTGCTCTCCTCTTGACTTTACTGTGACATATATATATACCTGCTCTTGCTTGTCTAGTTTTATATATATATGTCTGTACTCCTGCATGTGAACTGGCCTCTGGCCCAGCTCTTGTGCTCGGACTGTGTGGTGACTTTGTGATCCACCCCGAGCTTGCTTTGCTTTGCTTTTCTTGACTGGTCTTGTGACCCCTTGTTCTCCCCCACTTTGCCTATGGGGGTGTGTCAGATTACTATAGCTAATGCATGTTTGTAGGCTGTAGTGGGGTAGCACATAAGGGGTACAACCCAATTAGGGTTGGTACTTGTACTGTTTTCACTTCATAGTTCAACATTCCTGTTCCTTACTTTCACACAGCCTGGCTTCGCCACATCCCCCCCGCAATTTACAGCATCCAGCCTGGCATGGCCCGGAAAATCTGATTTGCTGCCGTTTTTCCCTGTACTGTACATTCCCTTCTCAAACTGCAAATGCTGCCTTGTCGCGAGCTGTTGTTTCTGCCCACGGTCAACCAAGGCAACATTCGTATGTCAATTTTTGGTTTTCATACAACATTAATTTGTCCGTAATTGCACGCCGGTTCTGTCCGGGCAGCACCTTGTTTAACCAGTGTTTTTTTTACGGGAAACCAGTTTCCCAACTGTCAAGCTCCTCCTCACCATACATCTTGGCAAGGTCGAACTGAGCAGAGAACGAGCAGGGCCAACAATACAATACGACTCATTTGAACTCGTGTTCTACTTGTGTTAGTGCCTCATTTCAACAAAGGAGTTTTAGTTTCCTTGGTAGTTTTTCAACTCATTCGCCATGTTTCCCACACCCCCTTCGCGACGGACAATCGCAACCTCGTGTTGAGCATGATGCCGCCTTGACTGCTGGTGAGGTTTTTATGTGCTAGTCCGTACATGTGCTCTTTCTCTGTGTTTGTATCTTTTTCGCTTTGTTAAACTTTCTAGAAGTTTTAACGTGTCCTTCATTAATGGCTATGCTTCTTATTATCTCACTGACGCTGTCTAATTCTTGTCGTATGTCATTTTTTCAGATCCTCGCCGTCAAGTATTTCATAATGAAGCGAAAGCTGCTATCTGTCACTGCGAGGTGCTGGGGAGAAGAGTTGTGTGGCTTGCTTCGATAAGAATCAACTGAGGCTTGCTTGAAGACGGTAAAGTCGCCTGCAGCGCCTATGCGTGGTCCATCGTTTGAGGTGAGTTTCGACGTGTTTTATTGTTCTTGTTCCCAGACCTATTTAACAATGTGGTTGTTTTATGCAGCGGATATATGGACCATGGTATATTGATTACGGCAAGTGTTTCATCGTACTAATCACGGTAAGTAGATGTTCTGCGTTTTTTGTCTTATCTTTTGTTTAACAGTTGATGATCTTTGTCGTCTGTAATTTCAGTTAGGCCAAAGTCGACATCGTGTTAACCTTTTGCGCTCTTGTTTGTACATTGCTGTATGAATATGTTTATTAATGAAAATTTGTAAAATTGCCCTGTAACATCCGCTTCAAAATTTTGTTGGAGCGGGTGATTATTACTGTGTTCTACGTATCTGTGTTTTGTAATCACGGTTTTGATTATTAAATGATGTATCCGGTGGTGTATTTATCTCAATTAAAGGCGATAACGAATTATCAATTTCGTTAAAGGAATAAATAAACCAGCAATAACTTTTTGATTTATAACGCATTCCAAATATATTGGGTAACACAAATGGTTACACCTGGTAACAAAGCAACTGATCAAGCCTCGCATGTGCGATATCCTCTTTTCGGCTCCGATGGTAACAAAATCGAACCACTCGTGCCAAGTGACGTGCGATGCGTTGGTAATACAGTGCAGTCGGCCCGCAGGTTGGTTTCGACAATTTCCAGGATGACTGCAGGGTGGTTCTGTTGCCCCGCAATTACCCCCCCGCATTGATTCGCGACTGACAGGACTCCCGAAATCGGGAGTTACCGGGAAGGCTTCCAGCTAATTGCTGGAAGCCACAGTTCTTCGTGCGATGACCGTAGCATGCTGCGGACCATGATGCGGAAAGGCGCGTATGGGGAAGGCGCAGAGGCGGAGACAGGAAGCAGGAAGGTCAATGCGTGGATTGCACTAGAGAACACCACCACCGGCAGCACACTGGTACGTTCAGTGGACGTGAAGGGCGTGATTCTGAAGGGCGTGATTCTGAAGGGTGTGATTCTGAAGGGCGTGATTATGAAGGGCGTGATTCTGAAGGGCGTGATTATGAAGGGCGTAATTATGAAGGGCGTGATTATGAAGGGCGTGATTATGAAGGGCGTGATTATGAAGGGCGTGATTATGAAGGGCGTGATTATGAAGGGCGTGATTTACACAGCCTTTCTCTGAAGGGCAGTGTCTCTTGCCGCACCCTTGCCACTGTCAGAGGCACACTGCTACTGGCATTTCAATGCCCCCTTGCCACTGTCAGGGATGACACTGCCTGTGTCATTCCGATGCCCTCATGACGTCATAAGCATAAGCATAAGCATTCATACCTTTACCTGTTGCCCTTTTCTTCTCTCCTCTGCTGCAGATCCTGCATGTGCGGCGCTGGCCTGTCAGCCTGGCAGCAAATGTGTGGTGGATCAAAACGGAGTTCGCTACTGCCAGTGGCGTAAGTATTTCCTTGCTCTGTCTGCCAGTGAGGTGACTTCTTTCCTGCTCTGCCTGCCAGTGAGGTGACTTCTTTCCTGCTCTGCTAGTGATATGGGTTCTTTCCTGGTCTGCCAGGGATGAGTGCTCTTTCCTGCTCTGTTCAATGAGTGGAGCCACAACCACGCCCATCCCTCACCCCATCCATTCCCTCTCCCGTGCTTCCTGCGTTCTTCAGCCTCTTTGTGTGGCGCCTGCCCTCTAAACCTCAACCCCCCCCTTGCATTTACTCACATACCGCACTGCACCCATCCCCACCCCTCAGCCTCACTCTGTGGCGCCTGTCCCTCTGGAGCCTCCTGCAAATCTAAGCTATTACTCCAGACTCTCCCTGCATTTACTCCTGATCCAATGTTGTCAGTTCCGTACTGTTCCTGCCCTGACGGCTATGGGATAACCTCAACCGACTGTGTTCAGGGTGAGCTTCCTTCATGCATGCTCTTGTGATATTGAAGTTCTTATGAGGCGTCTCAAAAACACCATCCGACTGTGTTCAGAGTGAGCTTCGTTGATGCTTGCTCTCCCTGCCCGTCCCATTCTCCCCAATCCCACTCACCCCACTCTTTGCTTCCCCTTCCTCACTCTGCCAAGTTGGTCGAATGCTCGTGGGGATGTGGCATGCATGTAGGAGTGTTTGAACGTCCTTCCTTTGTGCTGGTGACAATCAACAAACTGAGTCCTTCCTTTGTGTCCCTCTTTTTCACAAATAGACATCTCACTGTCTCTTCCAACAGCTACACATACGTTGAACTAATTTCTGAGAATTCTCAAACGTGATTCCAACAATGCTCTCACTCCTTCCTTTGTGCCCCTCTTTATCACATTTATCACAGGTAGACATCCCACCGTCTCTTCCTACAGCTACACATACGTCAGGAACGACACGTATGCCTACACCTTCCGCCTCAGGCTGAATGTGTGCACTCCGATCCCGGAAAAAGCGCTTGGCCTGGTCACAATAATATATGGCATGGACAACATTGGTGATGCTCCCGCTTGCAGCAATATTAAGTTCTACAATTCAAACAATTGTCAAGGCAAAGCTTACAACGAAGAGTGGCCACTCGAGCAAGCATCTCAGGACCTTTTGAGGGGACGTGCTATATCGTAAGTGATTGAACCTGTTCCACCTGCACCCACCTGCACCCACCTGCACCCACCTGCACCCACCTGCACCCACCTGCACCCACCTGCACCCACCTGCACCCACCTGCACCCACTTGCACCCACCTGCACCCACCTGCACCCACTTGCACCCACTTGCACCCACTTGCACCCACCTGCACCCACCTGCACCCACCTGCACTGTGAGTGATTGGCCGTTCTCCTCTTGCACGCCTGCACATCTTCTCCTCTTCCCTTTCTTCACCAATCATTATAGGTGAAACCTTGTGACTCATCTTAGGGTACATTCCGCTGTGGACACATGTCCCAATCGATGTGTCCCAATCGTTTCTACCGCACTGCATCGTATTACACCAAATTGCACCCTAGTTTCGAAATTTTCGCGTCTCTGGTTTAGTTCGGTTCGGAGCGGTACACTCGATTGGGACACGTCGATTGGGACATGTGTCCACAGCGGAATGTACCCTTATCCTGTTTGTCCTCCCATTGTTACCATTGACCAGGGGCCAACAGCATGTTACAGGCGGCTCAATTATGTGTAGGTAGGACAGCTTGAGATGGCCGCACTGACTTAGTCATGTTTAAAACAACATCAACTTGTTGAATGGTTTCTCTCCTCCATTCAATAAGACCTCTTCTTCTCCTTTCTAGTCAATAAGACCCCTTCTCTCTTTCTCTAGATAGAGTCCCGGTAGTGTGTTTGTACCAACCAGTGCACTTTAGCTAGGTATGTTTGCTTGAGAAACGTTTGTAGAGCTGTAGGTGTTGTGCTTTACAGGGTTTTGTTGAAGTCTGTTTCAACTACTGTGGTAGTCTCATACTCAATCGAAGCCAACCATACCCATTCATCGTGTGAAGTGCCACTACTGTAGAGCTGGTCAGGCACACACGCTGCATATCGGTCTACAGAGTAGTAGCAGGTTGTCCCTATGGACTGCGTGCAAGCGTTGAGCAGACTCATAGGGTAATGGCGTACAGGGAGGGAAAGCATTTTCATTGAGGTGCAACAAGGTCAACCGCCGTATTTGTTCCAAGTTCAGGTGAAAGCATCACGCAGTCCCAATCATGGAGACTTATTTATACAAGTACTGTCAAACTATAATGCTACTTGTGTTGTGTAGGTTGTAGTGGAGTAGCCTTTATGGGGTACAACTTGTTGGAAACAAGTGATTTTAGCGCATCTGTAGTGTCGAAACACTAAGTCATAAACGAAGCGAAACACAGCGAAGCATCGGCGAGTCAACCCTCGGAGGTTGAACAACTGCTGGAGGTTACGCGAAAGTCAAAGGTCAGCGACCTTTGACCTGACAAGTACAGCGCGACAGCAAGGACAAACAACTGACTCGTCATTGAGCAGTTGCCCGAGTCGTCACTGTATCGAACCGCAACAGCAACGGTATAACAATTATAAGCTATAACCTTTCATATTCCCTTGTACTCTTATATAAGCTATAACCTTTCATATTCCCTTGTACTCTTATAAAAGCTTGTATCTCTTCGCTTTAATTAATCTACTTTGCCCTCACATACCAGCGCACGGTGGTTCACAAACTCATCATTAAACGCTTCCGCTAGTACATTGTTCCTATTAATAGTTTAGTCCTGCAAAGATCCTGAGGGCTTTTTCTCAACCCAACATGGTATGAGAGCTATCAGGGCAAACTCAACTACTATCAAGACACCTACAACATCAGAAGGCATCGCAACACAGAAGGAGAGAAGCTCCTCTAACGGCTCTCCTGGTACTACTCCAACTCCACCTCCTGCCTCTGGCCTACAGACAAAGGAGGGCACAGCAACAAGACCAGCAGCTGGGTCCACCAAAACTCCCGCAAATCAAACTGCGGGCTTCGACCCAAGCATGATGGAGAAGTTCTTCTCCTTCATGTCCTTCTACGAACAACACCAGCAAGGGGCACCTACGCAGTCAAACAACAGCAACAACAACAACGACGTGACACCGATGAGCCTCGATGGTTCATCCTACACGCGAGGAAATCAGCAACAACAACCTACCTTCGCCCCGTACGAACCCCAACGCGGTTCTGTCAGTTTCATGCCGCGCCAGCAGCCTTCATCTGAACAAGAGAAGACATTGGATGCACTTCAAGTTTAGTCGCAGTTTGCGCACATCTTAAAACTGCAGACACCAAGACCATTCGACGGAAAAGACTTCTTCACCTGGTCGTTCGAATTCGAGCTAATGATGGAAGGTGAGAAATAACGAGAATGAATGAACTATGAAAGGAGTGAGTACAAGTACTAACCCTATTTGGGTTGTACTCCCTATGGTATACCCCACTATAGCCTACACAAATGTATAAGCTATACAGCATTCTGACACACCCCCATAGGCAAAGTGGGGGAGAACAAGGGGTCACAAGACCAGTCCAGCAAAGCAAAGCAAAGCAAAGCAAGCTCAGGGTGGATCTCAAAGTCACCACACAGTCTCAGCACAAGGTCAAGGCCACAAGGCCAGTTCACATGCAAGTGTACACATATATATAAAGTTAGACAAGCAAGTGCAGGTATATATATATGTGATAGTACAAGCAAGGTCAAGAGGTGAGCAAGTGAGGCAAGACAAGCACAACGCTGCTGAAGCTCACGAGCAAGGAAGTAGCGAAGAGCAATGTGCTTTGTTCTGTGCTCCAGTCTCTGCTCTCGACACAAGGTCAGCATGGCCTTGTTGTCTACGTACAGCACTGGAGGAGAACGAGGCGGCTCTCCAAGGTCGGTCAGCAGGTAGGTGAGCCAGCGAAGCTCCTGTGCAGCCATGGCCCCACCGTAGATCTCAGCCTCACAACTGGAGCCGAGAACAGAAGACAAGCGAGTAGCCCGCCACGAAACAGAGCTGGAACCAAGGCTGAAGGTGTAACCCTGTGACGACCGCTGGGTAGCCTGGTCGTCAGCCCAAGAAGCGCCCGCGTGCCCAGTGAGGACAACTGGACTCCGCCCTCCAAGCACTAGCCCCATGCCCGACGTACTGCACAAGTAGCACAACACCCTCTTCGCTGCAGCCATGTGCTCTGGTCTGTGTCTCCCAGGAGCAACATAGCGTGCAAGAATGCTAAGAGGATATGCAAGGTCAGGTCGTGTGCAGGTCATCAGGTACATGAGGCAGCCAACAAGCTCTGGATACGGGCCACTCGACTCTACGGACTCATCCGAAGGCAGAGCTGAGAGTGAGTGGCGAGTAGGCAGAGGAGTGGCCTGAGGCGAGGAGTACGTGAAGCCGAAGCGCTGAAGGACCTGCTGCACCATGTGTGACTGAGTCAGGGTAATGGTGCGGCGTGCTCTGTCCTGGGTGATCTGCAAGCCAAGGTAGCTGCGCAATTCACCCAGGTCTGTGCACGTGTGTCTCTTCAGCAGCTCGGACTTCACGTAGGCGAGTCCAGCAGTGTCAGCTGTGGCGAAGACCAAGTCGTCGACGTACACGAGGATGTAGAACGGCGGCAGAGAGGTGTCGGTGCGAAGAAACAGCGACGGGTCGGCAGTAGAAGGAGCAAACCCAAGAGCCGCAAGTGTAGTCCTCAGTGTGTCGTGCCACTCACGTGGCGCCTGGCGGAGACCGTAGACTGGACGCCGGAGACTCCATTGGGTACCAGGAGGGAAAGACCCAGTGAAGCCAGGTGGGCGGCGCAGCCAGATCTCCTCGTGCAGGCTGCCCTGCAAGAAAGCTGTGCTGAAGTCGAGAGAGTGCAGCTCGTAGTCACGGTGAGCAGCAACGTGCAGCAGTACCCGAAGAGTGGTCATCTTCGGGGTGGGGGATAAGGTCTGAACGTAGTCAACTCCCTGCCGCTGACTGAAGCCACGAGCCACGTAACGCGCCTTGAAGACAGGCGGAGAACCCGGCGGCTGCTTCACCCTGAAGATCCACATGCCACTGACGATGTTCGCCCCAGGAGGGGGGACAACGTCAACGTAGGTGCCTGTGGACTTCTAGGAAGCCATCTCTGCATCCATAGCTGCCTGCCACTGAGAGGAGTAGGGACCCTCTATCGCCTCCACGTAAGAGCGCGGAGTCGGGATGTCAAGTGCATCCGGGTCTCCCTCAGGGGTAAGCAGTACGGACACGAG